AAGAGTGGGAAGCCAAAGAACCCACTTTTAGCTGACATTGTGACATCAGGCAAAGCATCTTCCTTCCCTGGGCCACAAATTCCTCATTGACGAAATTAAAAGTAATAAGGTCTGCTCATACCTTCTTTGTAGGTTTTTCCTGTGCATCATATGGGAACAGATATGACTGCTTTGTTAAACTGTAAAACATTCTATCAGTTTGAACAGGTCTGGTTGTATTAGTTGCTGCAGCAGTTACTTTGGATTGCACACGTAGAGTGACCCACAGAGTATTTGGGTCAGTTGTTTTCATTTGTAAAACAATTTAAATGTCCTGAAGGGGAAAGTAATTCTGATACACATCTCTTTCATGAAATATTCTGCAGCCAGTGAAACAGATATTAAGAAGGGTTTCTAATGGGGAGTGACGAGGGCTCATGATTATAACATGTAAAAATAATACCAAATTACATAGAAAATGTACTAGGAGGAAGTACATAAAAATTTAAATAGTAATGGTCTCTAAAAATGCAAATAAAGGTTATGTGCAAGATACTCACCCCAGCATTATTCATCTGGCAAATTTATCATTCATTTATAGTTTATAAGCAGTACATATTTGCATTATGTATGCTTCCCCTTTCTCCTATTTAAAAGTCCTCAATGTCTCTTCTAAAAAATAAGATTACTGTAGAGGAGGAAATAAGTTAATGATGATAAAGCAAATAAATCTTTATCTCTAGTCAAGACCATTCTTGTGAGGTCCATACTGCCTATAGCTATTTATTGAACAGTTCTACTTGGAGTTCTTATAGACATCTCAAACTTAACAAATCCATTGTGGAATTTTTGTTTTCTTCTATTTATTATATCCTGTCGTCTTCTACTTTAGCAAGTGGTATCTCTCAACCTAGTAGCTCATGCTAGTTTATCTTCAAAATATGTCTCAAATCTGTCCTGTTTCTCCCTCTTCTGCTATCATTCCTATCCAACCCACCCTCCTTTCCTGTTTGGATTATACTTAGGAGATTAAGGCAAGTCCCCAATTTTCTTTCCATAAGGCAATTAAAATGAACTTTGAAGAACTTTGTATATTTTAGCCATGGATTAGCTAAAATATTCAAAGCAACTGTTTTCAGACATTGGACAACAGGCAATGAAGTACTGTGATTCCCGAGAAAAGGAAAACATAAGGTGATCACCATCTGTGATTGCTTTAGCTTTCTTTCTGAAAGTATTTTCCACACTATGCACAAAGCAGTGAAGCCAAATAGAGCATGATAATCGTGCTTAAGTAATGAGGCAGAGGTCAAAGTTTCCAGCTACTGAGGAAGTGGAATTCTCAGACAGGATACCAGAGAGGAATAAGCTATACAGAGGAACTCTAGAAATCCACATAGGCGATCTCTTAAGTCTTTGGCCCAGTGTTAAGCTGCACAAGGTCTCTGAGAGACCTTGCAGTAAAAAGATATTGAGGAGCTACGAACTGAAGAGATTTCAGAGGTTTCATAGTGCTAGAAGTGGTTTGAGTTCCAACCAGCCAGAGAAGAGGGACCTCAGTGAACACCACAGATATTCAACAGAGACTCCAGAAAGGCCATGTCCTAATGGTAAGACTACTCTAGATCTGCTTAACAAACTTAGATACAAGCCTCAAAAGGATCAGGCTGATTCACCAGTAAATTAGCTAGCTACCTGCCAGAATGAAACTCAACAGTCTTTAAAGGAATTCAACAAAATCCAAGCTGTACAAAGTATCATCCACAATGTCCAGCATAAAATGAGAAATTACTAAATTTAAAAAAAGGTAATTAATAGAAATAGACCCAGATATGACACAGAGATTGGAATTTACAATTGAGAATTTAAAAACAGGTATAATAACTATGTTTAAGATTTTAAATAAAACATAAACCTAATGACTGAACAGATAGGAAATCTCACTAGAAAAATTGAAATTATAAAAAGAAATGAAATCCTGCAATAGAAAGTTCTATCCTATATAATAAAAGGCTAATATGTAAATAGACCGAACAGCAGAACAAACGAACAGCTGGTCACTATGATGTGTGCTGACCATCAGAGGGCGTGTGCGGAACATGGTGGGCGTTGGCTGCGGCAGGATGGTGGAGCAGGTGAGCGGAGGCGCCAGACCAAGGCGGGGCACTGGTTGCTGTCATTGGGGTGAGCTGTTAGTGGTTACTGAAAATTCTTTGCTCACGTGCACTGCAGTCCCACCTGCCGCTCACACCCACTGCCAGCCCCGGCCCCGCTTAATATAAATCTATGTTGCCATGAAAAAAAGCTCCTAGATTTTGAGCTCGGCGTGTTAGCATTTTGAAAAACCCTAACTTAACTCTGGTGCCGTGCCACATATAGAAATTTTTTGATATTTGCAACCATAGTAAAACAAAGACATATTTCTTATATTTATTTTATATATTTAAATGCCATTTAACAAAGAAAAATCAACGACAAAAATGAGTTCGCGTGTCACCTCTGACACGCATGTCATAGGTTCACCATCACTGCTCTAGTGTGTGGGTTCTTGACTTCGTGTAGGAAAGATTTCACAATACAAGTCCAGGTAATCCTGAGAATATGTTTGTTAAAGCTGGGGACAGTGAAACAAGTAAGGGCTTAGCATAGAAGAAGCAACAGCCCTAGCCAGTTTGCCTCGGCGGATAGAGCTTTGGCCTGCATTCAATTCTGGTCAAGGGCACGTATCTTGGTTGCAGGTTCCTCCCTGGCCCAGGCCCTGGTTGGGGCTCATGCAGGAGGCAGCTAGTTAATGTGTTGTGTCTCACATCAGTGTTCCTCTCTGTCTTTCCCTCTCTTCCACTCTTCTAAAAAATCAATGGAAAAATATCCTCTGGTGAGGATTAAAAAAAAAAAAGAAGCAACAGAAGAGCCTAGGTGGTGCTCTGCTTTGGCATTCTAGAAATGCTATAGGAAAGAAGTGAGCCGAGGTGGGGCTGCTGTCAGCTCACAGGGAAGTCAGAGAAAAGGGGGGCTTGGAGACAGGATCAGGAGGTAAGCCCGGGACGAGCTGCCACTGCCCACTGCTCTCCTGGTTGAAACTTTTGCAGGGACCCTTAGAGGTTAGGAGGCAGTAAAAAGTTCATGCCTGAGAAGGGACATGGTGTGCTCTGTAGCGAGCCTGCACTGAGTCTTTGTCTTGAGGGGTTTTTTTTTTCATCTTCTGTTGGCGAGAATCTTAGGGGATGGTTTCAGCAGAATATTCATCAGCTTTCCAGGTGCATTTTTAATATGCAGATACATCAAAATGAGTGTATAAGGGAATTTAGGATTGTTCTTTGTTCTGCTTTACTGTTTTACTTTTATCTTGGGCCTGTCTGGCTTTCGTGGGGTTTTTCTTATTTGTTTCTCAGACTTCATCTGTCCTTGGGGTTAGCTGGCACAAATGACAGTAATTGGGTCTCTGTTTTCTATTTTCCCTGCCCAGGGTGATTTAAGACAGCAGTCGCCAACCGGTGGTCCGTGGACCACTGGTGGTTCCTGAGGTCCAAAAGGTTGGCAACCACTGGTTTAAGGAAACCTTTGGAGCAGCGGTCGCCAACCTGTGGTCCGTGAGGTCCGAAAAGTTGGCGACTGCTGATTTAAGATACGTATTCTCTGGTTAGGGAGGAGAGTTATAAACCATTTGCTCTCAAGTGTCCTTGGTTAGGGGAGATAAGGTCTTGCAGTTCACCACCTGGCTGTAAGTTGTTCAAATTTGACTTTGTTCCCCCATTCCACTTGCCCAGGAATCTTCCCAGCTTCTTACTATCCTGCCTCAGTGCTACATGGAATTTCAAATTTCCATTAATAAAAAAAATAAAAACTAAAGAAAAAAGCCTTGTAATTACCTCTGCTTAAAATGACCCATTAGTAGTTTCCCATTTATTATTGCTCCTAGGATTCTAAGCCCAGGATCCCTAATACGACCCACCGTACCCGTAGGTTCTGTCCCCTGCCTGTCTGTTTAGCCTCCTTCCCTAGGGCTTCTGGGTTCTAGCCACATGGGCTCCTTTTCTCTTTGTATCCTGTTCCTTTTGCCTGGAGCAAGTCATATTTTCTTTCCCTTTTTCCTCCTGTTATTTCACAGCTCAAATATCACTTCTTTGGGGAAGCTTTCCTTGATCTCTCTACCTAGTCCAGGTCAGAACCCTGATATATTCTCATAGCACCCTGTACTTTTTCTTTGTACACTTGTCACACTTATGTTCATGCATTTATTTTTGTAGTTGTTTAATGTTTGTCTCATTAGACCATAAGATCCCCAGACAGGGACAGAATCTGTTTGTTCCCCAGAACCTGGCATAATCGTTGGCAAATAGCATACATTCAGTATATATTTAAATTAACAAATAGTTAATAAAGTGCTTCTAAGATGCCATGTTCTCACTGTAACCCTGTGACATAGCTATTGCTATCATTCCCACTTTACCTTTACCTTTTTGGTCTGCCTTTTAAGGTCTCATTTAACTAAGGCTCCATGACTGAAAAAGCTGGTAGGTCTGTGCTCTGGACCAGTCCACCTTTCTTTCGTGCTGCTTTAACTCGAGGAATGTGAATTTTATTCAGGAATTGTTCCCTAACTGGCCTGAGACATTCCGGCTCTGCCCTGGCTTGGATTTACTTTTTCCTTCTCTTTCCTAACTCCTAGGCGGACTGACCCAGGACCTGAAAGCTGCCTTCAGCTGCTTTCTGATGGCGTGTGAGAAGCCTGGAAAGAAGTCTGTGGAGGCATGTCACAATGTTGGTCTCCTGGCACACGATGGACAGGTCCATGATGACGGCCAGCCCGATCTGGGGAAGGCCAGAGACTATTACACAAAGGCCTGTGATGGCAGCTATGCCCCTAGCTGCTTCAACCTCAGTGCCATGTTCCTGCAGGGTGCTCCCGGCTTTCCCAAGGACATGGGCCTAGCCTACAAATACACCATGAAAGCTTGTGACCTGGGCCATGTCTGGGCCTGTGCCAATGCCAGCCGCATGTACAAGCTGGGGGATGGTGTCGATAAGGATGAAGCCAAGGCTGAAGCGCTAAAAAATCGGGCCATGAAACTGCATAAAGAACAGCAGAAAAACGTCCAACCTTTAACGTTTGGGTAGTGTGGCCCACCCTCCTGTGCAGCAGATGCTGGCACCTCCGATTCCTGATGCAGCCCTTGGAGAGCAACCTGCTGGAGCAGGAAGACTTGGGACTCGGTATTAGTAACCCTGGTTACATATACCCATTGCCCCGGAGTGTCACCTACTGGGATGTAGCCTGAAGTATTTATTTCTTTACCTGGTGTGTTCTGTAAAGAGACCCACATTTAATGTGGTTTTAGATCTCAAACTCTTATAGCTCTGAAAAACAGCAAACTAGAGAGCAATGGAGATTTTGGGGGTGGGTGGGAAGGAGAGACAAAGAGCAAGAGATGGGAAAAATTAGCAGCCACAGGGCCTGAAGGAATCCGACATCATCGTCGTCATTATTATTTTAGTTGGGAAGGCTTGAAAATCAGGAAGTATCTTGGTTTACGTAATAGAGGGCTTCAGGAGCTAAGAACAGTCACGACTCCACCCTCTGGTTTATGTAATCGTTGGTGTGGGCTTTAGTTCTGCCTTTAGAGTCACGTTTTTGCAATACATTCATGGAGATCTGGAAGATTAAAGGTCATTACTCATATGTTTCAGGGTTGCTAAAGAGGATGAACCAAGCCCTCCTGCAGTGGAGACAATCACAGTTAGTGGACTAGCATCCCCAGTCCACTTATGCGGTACTGCTCATCACACTGAGGGAGCAGATTATTCCCCAGGCAACTTCAGGTAGGGATTTGTAAGCAAGGGTTTTGTAACATTTTGTCCCTCAGAACAGAGCCTTTTTAACTGTTCCTGTGAATAAACTATTTTGATTAATATTTTTGTTATTGGTGTTCTCTCCACATCCTGGGTAGAGATTATGTTCTTCAGTGGTTGTGCCTTTTAAGAACATTTGCTTTTTCTATTATCTTCCTAATCTGTCA